GCCTTACCCGTAGATATCATATCCTCCTTCTTCTGAATAGAAAAGAAAATTTGTCATCCAGGATAAACTAAATTCCCCAGCCCCCAGCCCCCAGCTCCCACACCCCTGCAGCTAGGTTTGGCCATGCAACTCAGGGCCAATGATAGAGGAGTATTCATAGACCTGGGGTTTGGGGATTTCATGGCTGAGAAAAACGAAATAGCCCTAAGCAAAATAAATTTGGTGTCCAGAGGTTTTGTGACTTTTTTTAAATGCTGTATCTAACTAGATTAACTTGTGTGCAGCCTCAAGTGCCCTCAGGATGGATAAGCTTGAATAGGCTGTGGTCACAGAAGTGGAACAGTGGGGCTTAGTGAACAGATAACTCCATTCTCTGAGCTTCTCTGTGATAGAGCCTAAAACAGAAGAGCCAGCCCAAGAAATATGGTCCACATCTAGCTGAGAATGGGATGAAACAGATTATGACTAGGAGATGGCTTTCTGTGCCGTCTTTTTTTAGATTTTTTTTTTTTAAAGATTGAGGACAATTTTATAAAGTTTGGGAGGAAAACAATACGACAGGCAAGCTAAAAATCCTGGCAGACACAAGGAGGAAGGGAGGTGAAGAAAAACTCATTCCTTTTTAAGTTAGGCAAGTAGGTAGGAGAAACAGAGAAAGTCCAGAGGGTTAGGAAAAGATGTTTAGGAGAGCTGAGCCACAGGTCTGAGTTTAGAAGGCACCAATTGATTCCAGGCTTTTGTGTCCCAGGGCAAAGGATCACACTAAAGACACAGGGTTAGAAACAGAAATAGTGACAGCTTACTAAGGAATGAGAATGGACTGATGAGCTGAGGAAAGAGCCCAAAAGTCTACTTTCAAGATCTTTGGTGAAAGTTCCACTTACTACTACATGGCTGTTGGGGAAAATGATTTGGTGTGGCTTTATAGTTACTAAAGTACTTTCACATCTAGTAGCACTCCTGTCTCATCCTCCTCCCAGCGTGTATGTCACACAGACCTGATACAACTTGCCTATTCTACTCCAGCAATCCAAGGGACTTGCAGAGTCCAGGAAGCCTCAGGGAGCAGAGCCAGGTCAGGACACTGGGGCCCCAGCTCTAGGCCCACCTTCCTTTGTATGTACTCACTTTGTCTCACAGTCATCAGAATCAGTGAGCCTTCCCTGAGTCAGGAGTGTAAGTGGGCCACAAAGGGAAGGAGGACAGAGATCTTGGCCTCTAAGAAGCTTCAGAGTTGGTGTGTACTATGGTTTGGATTTGCAATGTTCTCAAAGCCCCATTGTGAAAGGCTTGCTCCACAGCTTGCTGCAAATGGGAGGTTATGAAAATTTTAAGAGGTAGGGCCTAGTGTGAGAAGTTTGGATCATGAGGCATGCGCTCTCCAAGGGACTGTAGGACCTTGGTCTCCTCCTGTCTCTCACTTTCTCACCATGAAGTCTTACAGCACCATGCACTTCCACCACAACATACTTCCACAGGCTTAGTAGCAATGGAACCAACTAGCCATGAACTGAAACCTCCAAAACCATGAGCCAAAATGAACGTTTTTCTCCTTATAACTTGATTTTCTCAGGCATTTGTTAAGGTGACACAAACCTGACTAACGCAGTGGGGAAACCATCTAGTGCATACACACTGTCACGGTATGAAGCTCTGTAGGGGGAGCACAATGTACCAGGAACTGACAAGAATGCTCTGAGCCTTTCAGACAAGAACCAATAAGGACAACAGCAATAACAACAACTGCTGGAAGCTCTGCTGTCCCACAGAAACCCACAGATTCTGAACTTGAAGTTGTATATGAACACGTTTGTATGCACATGTGCACACATGCACACACAGAGTGAGACTTAAATACAAGAGGCCTAGGTGGGTGTGGTGGTGCATTCCTTTAGTTCTAGCACTTGGGAGGTAGAGGCTGACGATCTCTGTGAGTTCAAGGCCAGCCTGGTCTACACAGCAAGTTCCAGGCCAGCTGGAGCTACAAGGAAACCCTGTCTTAAAAAGACCAAAAAAATTTTTTAAATGAAAAAAAACAAGAGACCTAACGAGAACCAAGTTCAAGCCTCTGAGCCCCAGTGTTTGGTATATCAGTATATTTGATAAATAATATTTCATTAATCATTCGGCAAGCAAGCACTCTGAGATAAACTAATGTCACATATTGACAAAATGCCGTATCTAAATTGGCCTCCAGACTCGAAGTTCTGACCTTTCACATAATATCCCATTTCCTCTTGAAACAAATGTAAATAGTGAAATAAAATAGAAAAATAGCTGGGCATGGTAGCATACACCTTTTATCCCAGCATTTGGGAGGCAGAGGTAGGCAGATCTCTGAGTTCAAGACCAGCCTATTTGAGTTCCAGGCCACCCAGGCCTACACAGTGAGACTCTGTCTCAATTAATCAATCAATCAATCAATCAAAATAGGGGGGCTAGAGAGATGTTTTAGTGGTTAAGACCACTGGCTGCTCTTCCAGAGGACCTGGGTTCAGTTCTCAGAACCCATATGACAGCTAATAACCATCTGTAACTCCAGTTCCCAGAGAAGATCTGACATCTTCTGGCTTCTGCAGGCACTGCATGCATGGGTGCACTTCCATATATGGAGGCAAAACACTCATACATATATAAATAAACAAAAACAAATTAATAACCAAAAAGGAAATTAAGGTTTAAAGCAAGCAGAAAAAGTCCTTGGCTTCACACCAACATCCTATAAAGAAAACCAAAAGCAGGGGTCAAAACAGTTTGTAGATGGATCTAAAAGGGGCTAACAAATCAAGGGATGTTTCTTAGAAAAGAGGAGAGGAATTTTCTCAACTACAAAAAAATATCCAAGGAGATACAAAATATGAAAGAATACCTTGTTGACATCAATACTTTCTAAAATGTTCTAAAGGAGTTTATCAAGATAAAATTTGTCTTCAAGCCAGGCATGGTGTCACATTCCTGTAATCCCAGCACTTGGGAGACTGGGGCAAGAGGATTGTGAGTTTGAGACCAGCAGAAGTTACACGTGAATGCTTGCTTAAAAAAATTATTTCCAATGCAATATGTATACATTAACCACACTGAGTAATATTATTGAGTCTTAAAACAGAAGGAAAATATTACCTGTTTCTGTTTATATAAGTACCTAGAGTATGCAAATTCATACACGCAGAAGGCAGAGAGTGCTAGACTCTTGGGAGGAGAGGGAAAATGGGGAGTTATTTTCTATTGAGCACTGACTTTGTTTGGCATGATGAAAAAAATCTGGAAGTGGACAATGGTGATAACTGCTGTGTTACTCAGCTTCCAGTTACTATAGTGAAATATCTAAGATGATTAACCTATAAAGAGACAAAGGTTGTTTTGGCTAGCTTGAGAGGTTCCAGTCCAAAACTCAGTGAATCCACTATTTTGGACTGCTGATGGACATGCTAGTTGACAATAGTGGGGAGTATGTGGCAGAGCAGACAGCTCAGTTTGTTCACACCGAAAGGAAAAGAAGAGGACCAGCTGGGGTCTTGTAGGTCCCATCTGAGGAATGCCCCCAATGACCAAGGAGTTATTTAGGCCTCACTTTCTAAGGGTCATCATCACCCCTGGGCTCACACCTTCAACATATCAATCTTTGGGGGATATACAGACTCCATCCAAACTATAGTAGTTTTATAGCACTGCTAATATATTTAGTGATACTAGATTGAACATTTAAAATTATGAAATGGCAAGTTTTATCTTATTTATATTTTACCACAGTGTTTTTGTTTTTGTTTTGGTCTTTTTTGAGACAGGGTCTCCCTGTAGCCCCAGCTGTCCTGGAACTCGCTATGTAGACCAGGCTGGCCTTGAACTCACAGAGATCCGCCTGCCTCTGCCTCCTGAGTGCCGGGATTAAAGGCGTGCGCCACCACGCCCAGCAGTGTTTGTTTGTTTGTTTTTTAAGAGAAAGAAGAATGTGTACCAGAATGATGCAACTCAAGAAAAACTCTTCTCAAGAAAAACTCAAGAAAAACTCTTCTCTTTGATCCTGGCTTTAGAGGGGGCAGATGAGATATGTGTCGCAAGCTTGGGGGTGGGGGGTGGGAGAGTGGGTTGTGTCATCACACCTGGCTAATACTGCTTTTGTATCTACGAAGCAGACATTCTGTGACACGTCTCTTAAAGAACAGTTTCCTGGTGCTACACCATCCTCAAGCTGAGAACAGAGGTAGTGTTTCTTCAGGAGTAGGGAACGCTTTCCTTGAGGACTCCCGCCCCCCAAATCAGAAGCAGATTGCCCGGGGCCAGTTGACAGTTGTAACGAATAAAACAAAAACGAACAAACAAACAAAAAACCCAGAACGATGAGTTGGTTTTAAATGTGAATTGGCCATGTAACATCTGGGTCATATTATATTTAAAAAATGATACATTTGAAATTTTTATTTAACTGGGTTCCTGTTTTATCCAGCAACCTTACCCATAGGCCATATTCTATGAGATTACACAGAGGGCTTGTAGGGAACTTTTCAGCTTTTAAAGATTAAATGAAATTTACTGAGATTTGTCACCTGGAAAGAAATGGTCTGATTTCCAAATTCTCTTTTAAAAGGCATCTTTCCACAGCTCCTGACAGAATATCGATGTCCCTAGCATGCTGCTTGGCGCGGGAAGACCTTTCCCAGGCACAGAACAACGCCCATCGGGGATGGGGGGAAGGTGTTTGCCTGAGGGCTGTGTTGGGGGGGGGGGGAGGAAGACCCTGCGCAGGCGCAGAACGCCCACGGGGTTTGGGGAGGGTTGTGGAGACTGACGAATTGGCGCGGGAAGACCTCGCGCAGGCGCAGACTGTGGCGCGTGGTCGGGCCGCTTCCCCGCGCCAAGCACCTGTTGCCTCGGGGTGCCCGCCAGCGCACTTCTTGTCCCGCAGGGCGTAATCTATCCCCTGCACCTCCTCGCGCCGTCTATTTATAGCGCTCGGCCGCCCCAGGCCATTTTGGGTAGTGCGGTGGGTCAGGCCCGCCCGCGTCCTCCCAACCCGCGTCCTCAGTCGCAGCTGCGGCGCGGGAGCAGGCGGCAGCTCTGTAAGTAGGGGCGACCCCGAGGGCCAGGCCTGTGACAGCCCGCAGCGCCTCCTTCCTGTCGCATGATCTCGGCAAAGCTGCCCTTCTGTAATGGCCCGGCTGATTAATTATTTTTCGTCCCCACTAGAGTATAAACGCCGTCGAGGTAAGGGCGCTCGCGTCTTCCTAAGAACCCACAGTGATGCTGAGCTTCGAGAAGGGTTCGGTTCGCTTAAATTCAATCAGCGCTGAATGTATCCCTGGACAGCTCTTTTAACTTTAAAGCCAGGAAAATAATTGCCTTGCATTTTCCCCACATGATTCTTAAGAGGAATTAATGAGCTATAATGCATATTAAAGCACTTTGGAAAGTATAAAGAGCTGAGAATTCAAAACATTGTGAACTCGCCAAAGGAAAGAAAAGAGAAAGCTTATTTGTCTTTATCATCCCAGTGACTCGTTATTACTTCCCTTGTGTCGGGGGATGAATTATTAGTATTAAGCAAATCGGGTCTTTTCCCACACCAGTAGGAAACTCAAGAGCACATTTAAGGTGATTAGGGGCGTTCAGAGCCATTTTCTACCAGCATGATAAATGGAGGATTTGGAAGAGCTGGTGATGCACAAACAAAATAGGTCAAGGGGATGTTACGGTGTAACGCAGGGGTCACAAACCTAAATGGCTGCAAAACATAAACAGGGAGAGAAGAGCAACAGAATGATAAATAATAGCTGACATGTCTTAGGGGTGGGCAGATGTGCCATCTTAGAGGCTGCAGCTGGCTTTCAGGTCCTGCACACTGTTATCACATAGGAATTGAGGGCCCATTGCTGCCATGTCTTCCATTTTCCTTCTATAGATGTTGGAATGTTTCGTTTTGCATGTTGAAGCTGATGCACGCTTCTGCTGGCTGTTCCCCAAAAATGAGGTGTCAATCTCAGAGGGCAGGTAATGGCTGTGAATTGATTTCAGGGTGGGAGTGAGAAGTAGATGTCATAATGCATCAAGCTATAGACAAGGGAATAACTGATGGGCAAGAGGGTAATAGTTTGAAGTATTAATGCATGACTCAAGCAAAAGAAAAATATTCAAGACTGGCATGTACATATAAGACTAAGGGGGGAAAACAAGGTTGTTATGAACTTCCAATTTAGAACTGAACAAAGCATTAATTTGATGGAACAAACCATACAGAGCAATCTTTATGTGCCAGGTATCACCATAGATATGATGAGAATAGGGAAGTGGAAAATACATAAAACCTTACCCTCAGTGTGCTTCATGAGGGAAGCATGTGCATGAATAAGTCACAGTAATGCAAGACCACTGTATACTGTCCAGCCAGGAGAGCAGGAAAGGGGCAGCTTCGCCAAGAAAGGGATATCTGAGCTGAATTTTGAAGAGCTGAACAGGGAAATAAGGATATTTATGATGCCGAGAATCATGTGTATACATTAGAATTGTTAGAAAAGATCAAAAACTAAAAGGAAGGATAATCCAAAAATGAGGCAGGAAGTGAAAGGAGGAGCCAGACTGTGAAGAGCCTGCAATGTCAGAATGAGAGGTAGTGAAAATAGAACTATGATCACTTTTTTAATGTGAGGTAATAATTTTCTACATGGTAATCACCAACTTACAAAAGGCATCCTCAATAAAGGGTTTTACTTTAAACAATAGAAATGGGACATTATTTTCTGTTGTAGTGTTGACAACACTTAGTTTGTTTCTTGGTTTGCCAACCAAAGTCTGTCGAAGGGAATTTTAGGAAAACTGTGGTTTTAGGAACCCTGTCCTATTCACTTCTCTGGTCTTCAGTTTGTCATAGATAAAAAATAAAGCTATGTATATGTATATACATGTATATTTTAAGGTTTATTTTTATTTATGTGTACATATATGTGCCTGCATGAGTTTATGTGTACCACATGTATACAGGTGCCTGCAGAGGCCAGAGGGCATCAGATCCCCTGGAACTGGGGTTATAAGTAGTTAGGAGCCACTATGTGGGTACTGGGTCCTCTAAAAAGCAGCAGGTACTCTTAACTGATGAGCCATCCCCTCCACTGCCCCCAAAACAAAGCTTTGATGTTAATCAACTTCATTATGATTAAAATATACTCAATGGACATTTTTATGGGAAAAAAAAAAACACCAGTTCTGAATCTAGTAACTTGTCCTGTCTCACAAGTCAGTGCTGGAGAAATTAACAAAGAAGGAGGACTATAGCTACAAGGTTTGAACGCAGTTGTCATTCAAACAAGATAGGAGGTTTCTGTATTTTCCAGTCACTCATAAGTTGGGCTGCCTACACTTTGAAATGTAAATTTACAATGTATGAAAATTCATAATGTATCTCTTACCTTTCTACATATGACGTATTTCAGATAATACATGGAGGTAGTTTACAACATGGGTAAGATTTTCAAAAGCTGTAATTAATATTAATACAGTCTTTTATTTTAAACATTGTATGCAGTATTCAAGATATGCAAAAGGGGATAAAAAATAATTAAGTGTGGATAGAGTCCTCACCATAGAGCTAGAGAAATTAAACAATTATACATTTGAAACTCCTTGTCAGCCTTCACCATTTGTCCCCCTTCTTCCTAACCTCCTAAAGGCAATCACTCTCCTCAGTTTGGTGACTATAACTACCCTTCATTTCTTCATAGTCCACTATAGTTGTGTAGGTCCTTACAAATGTATAGTCCTTAACCTTTTAACTTTGCTATTTCCAAACTTACAGAAAAAGCCCCAAAATACTATAAAACATATATAGTTTGCGAGATTCACCAATTGTTTATATTTACTTTACATAATTTACAATATTTACATAATTGTAAATATTATATTTATAATATATGGTCTACATTTACTGTATTAGTGTGTCATGCTGTATTATATATTTTAAACACATTAATGGTATGCATCATATATTTAACAGTCCTTTTCATCATCATGATGTTGATGTAAGTAGATCAAGCCTATTCATTTTTTCTGCTGTACAGTATTTTTTGAGTAAACATATTATAGTCTATCTGTTCTGTTAATGGAGTTTGTTGATTTCCAAATTTTCGCTTTTTATGTGTGCCATAGACAGTGCTGCTATGAATTTAAACCAGCTTAACTTCAGCTAAAGTTGGAGAAATTTCTTAGAAAAGAAGACTTAACCATGTTTCAATCATGATTCAGAAAAAGTAGCAACTGTAAAGATAATGTAAGGATGATAAAATCAAACATTGTAAAATCAAAACATTTGTGGCACAAAGAAATTGACATTTTTGCCCCACATTAAATTTATAGCAGCACATTTCTCAAAACTAAATATAATGGACATGGGTATAACTGCATTTGGGATTTGCAGAGTAATTAGGCTTTATTCTTGTGATTTATATTTATCTTTGCTACTCATTTTTCTCCATTATTATGGTACTATTATTATGAATGCACCAGTTCAGTCTTCTATAAATTGGAGCAGAGAATAGCTTCCCATTGGTTTCATTGAGAACATTGATACAATTCTGTTTTGCTGATGAAAGCAGAACGTACTCTCTGCCCTCATTATGAGAAAAAGTTGCTGTCAGCTCTCTTCATTTATGAGCTATGTCTGTACCCATAAGTGATTTTTATATGTCCCCAAATAATTTTGTTTGAAGAATGTTTATATGGGTATATCCTGCTTTAGCTCTACCAAGTAAATTTTATAGAGCAAATTACATTTTGTACATGTATAACCTTATTCAGTTCTCCCGACTATTATTTAATTCTCAACAGAAATCCCAGGTGAGGAAGCCAGAACTTAAGGAGGCCAAGAAGTATGTTTATATTACTGGATTGTAGTAGACATGGATTCAGACCCAGGTTTCAGTAACCCAAGTCCAGGTCCACATCCCTAACCTTTTAGCTCCTTTGCTGTGTCACTGTAATGGTAAAATCTATTTAGTGTACACTCGGTACTAAGGACTGAAATAACCACTTTATCTATATGCTTCATCCCCATTGTTCAGATGAAGAAACCAAGATTTAAGAAAGGTTAAATCGTTTAATGATTACAGCAAGTAAGCAGTTAGCCTGTGGCTCATATCCAAGGCTTTCTCACTTCAAATCTTCCATCTGCCACAACAATACCTTCAATACACCTTAAAGGTAAAGAAACAATGCTGAGAATATTTTTCAAGTGTGATGACTAATTTAACTTCCAGGCATTTTCAAGATTTCCATCAGCAAATTAATCTGATCTGTAAATCCAAAACTATTAGGATAACCTTCAGGCATCTATAAATAGCAATTAGAAGGAATAGATACTTAGCAAATGTGTCTATTTAAAACATTCATAGTAAATATTTCTTAAAAGTTTTTGAAGGTTATTTCTGTTTGAAAAAGTGCTTTTTGATATTTTTTCTAAGCCAGGAACTGCACCTCAGTACAGCATTTGTTCAAGAAATTGTTATGTATCTAGGAACAAACAGATGATCTTTTCAAAGCAGGACCCCTTGCCCCTCAAAACTCTTCAGTTGGATTTGGGAGGAGAAATGGAAATTAGAGAGACAGGAGAGTGTCCTGCTCATAATCAAGAGAGTGGGTTTATTTATAGCACTGGAGTGGCAATGGGCAACCTGCCACTTGTTTTTGCAAAGTCTGTGAGCTAAGAATGGGTGTCATAACTTTAAATGTCTCTTAAAAGTCAAAAGAAGAATAGTATTGCATTACAAATGAAAATAACCCACATGTAAAATATATGAAATTCAAACCTTAGTGTCCAAAATTCATTTTGCTGCAACAGTCATGCTCATTTGTTTGTGTTTTGTCTATGGCTGCTTTTGTGCCTTAAGAGCAAAGTTGAGTGCTTGTGATAGAGCCCAGATGGCCTGCAAAGCCTGACATATTTACCATCTAGCCTTAGTTCACTCAGTAGAAGGAGTAAGAGAATACAGACTTGAGGATCAGATGGAATTGTGTTCACGATTCAGTCCCTCCCCTGCATAATGCCATGGCCATTCTTTGAGACGCCAACAAAAAAGAGTAGCAGGTTTTTGTTTGTTTGTTTGTTTGTTTGTTTTGTTTTGTTTTGTTTTTTAGAGATGATCTCACTCTGTAGTTCCGACCAGCCTGGAATTCACTGTGTAGACCAGGCTGCCCACCAACTCACAGAGTAGCCTGCCTCTGTCTCTCTGACTCTGGAGTACTGGAATTAAAGGTGTGTGCCACCATGCCTGGCTTGTGATTGGTGCTTATGGAGGAATGAGCATGAGAGGTGATGGTTCTCTTTAACAGTATAACTGAAAAATGTAAGACTATAGCAGGTGATGTACATAATTACAGCTTTCTTGGGTGACCTTTTCTCAGCATTTCTGCATATGCCATTTATTTCTAGAAGTAAAGTTTTTTTTTATTACAAATAACAGCATTCCCAATTCAAACTAGCTTAAACTTTCTCAAAACTGGAAAATGTTGACATAAGGCCTGTTTGCAAATCCATTGCTCCAGATAATCTGCCTTATTCCCTGTGTTCTTTGTCTTGATGCTGGCTCACAGGGACATGGCGCAACAGTGTACAATACATGGATATCCCAGTCACAGAGCCAGAGCACCACTGTTTCAGCCAGCCTCTGGTGCCATGCCTGTCCCCAAGTCAGTCATAATAGTGAGGAATATAGGGAGTCATTCCTTCACCAGGAACACCCAAAGGAAGGCTTGTTGGACACTAAAGGAAGCCCAGCATCATCTACCATAAAACCTATAAGATATTACTTATGCCATGTTTATGAAAAAAAACAAGCATATGACCCAGGAGTTATTTCACTTTAACTTCCTGAAAGTAATGCAGCCTGTGTTTTTATTAAAATAGCCAAAAAGCACCAAAAAGTCTACCAGTTGTAGTTTGTCTCCTGCCTTACAGATGTGAAATCATAGAGTCCCCAGCATCTGAGTTCTGACATTACCAGGATCAGCAGTCTGGGAGCTGGCCAAGTACCTGCTGGTGTTACATCAGGGCATCCTATCTGGAAGTTGTATTTGGCCTTCTGGCATCATGAGCACTGATATTCTTTGAGGGATTCTCATTTATCAATACAGATAAAATAATAGGCATTTAAGAAAACCTTTATTTTCTTGTCAGAAGGCTTGGATTCTAGATAAAGGATATATACTCATTGGTAGAGAGTTTGCCTAACATGTGGATTCAATTCTTAGAATTAAACTGGGAAAGAAATTCTTACATTTTTTATGTCCAATATACAGCTGTCATGCATAAAGTGATATAATTACATCACTTGTCAAGAAGGCTATAGAATATGATTTTGGTTAGTCACTGTGTGTATAAGAGAGTTCTTAATGGCCCACAATTGGATACACTGTGTGTGTGTGTGTGTGTTTGAGAGAGAGAGAGAGAGAGACTCCATGTAGCCCAAACTGGCCTTAGTCTCAGAGATCTGCCTGCCTCTGCCTCCTGAGTGCTATATTAAGGGCTGTATTACTACACCTGACACCACAATTGGACATTATTTATAAACAAATGCAAAAAAAGAAAAAGATAAATCACAGGTTTACCTTTAACCAGATAGCCCTCTCCAAGAAAGTCAAGAGCTTAATGCCAGAATATCCAGAAAGGAGGGTCTGTGGCTATTTCAGGTAGCTTCCTAGATTGGATGCTACGTTACAAACTGTAGCATAGTGCTTCTTGGGTCTTTATAACTCTACAATTAAGCATCCTTGTCATGTGTGTCATGGAATGTCTAATTCTTTACAGGGCTATAGAAATTTGGAAAATTACCACTCATTATAACTGGAGAATGTTATGTTTCTGATGTTATAACTGCTACCCCTTTCTTAAAACTCAGCACTAACTCTGCAGCCATCAATATTTGTTCTCAGTGCCTGCAGCTTTGCAGCCAAGCCAGAACTAGAAAAGGATGCAGAGACTAGGATCCTCTCTTCAGAAGAGCTCCTGGCTCTGGGAATGACTTTCTTTAAATCAAAGCAGCTAATTAACTTCCTTGAAACCTCATGTTTGCATCGCCTGGGGAAGGCGAAGGTGACACCACCAGCTTAGAGACTTTTAATTAGACTAGGGCTTTTAAAGGCAAGAAGCAATTCAGTCTCTGCCACTGTGAAACAGGGAACAAAGAAAAGCTGGCCAAGGAGGGAGGACAGAGAAACTCAAAAGCTTCTATGCATTCTCTTAGTTAAGGGTGATTTAAGTGTTAGTTTAAAATATCATTAATTCTCAAATCAGCAGACATTGACTTCTGCTTTAAAGCTTGATAGAAATGAAATTCACATTACCAGCCCATTTGACTCATCTGTCACATAGCAAAATTTAATCTGAATTTTAGTGGACTTTTTTCAGGCATTCCACTTCCTAAGTGGCCCTAGTCATGGTTTTATAGATTGGTCATTATACATATATATGGCAAGTGTGTTATGGAGGGGTTATGTATAGCCTACACATAATACTGCATTTCTTTAGAAAGGATAGTAACTGATGACCCTGTACCCTCTACCTGTGGCCCAGTCTTGTTTGGTAACTAGAAATGGAATTGAAAAATGTGTTTATCTTTTTACTTCTTTCTTTGTTCATGCTGAGAAGACTTTCCACTCCTAGAAAAACCCCCACCAATGGTTAGAAAATATTGTGGTAGCAGTTAATAATTTATGATTTACACATCAAAGTCTTTTTGAGATACAAAGATAGTCGTCTTAAATTGCTCTGTTCGGAATGAATGATATTTATTTGCAAATACTTCTTAACACTAATACTACATATTTCAAACTAAAGAATTTTTTTCTTAGACAATACCTGCTTCTTTCTTGCCCTTAGGAACATTTCATGGCATCTCTGTTGATTTGTGAGTAATCAGAAATGCAAATAGCCCCTCAGGAATCAAGCTCAACTTAAAGAAGACTTATTTAGAAACTTTGAGGAGTGTATCATGGAGCACAAGATCGAGGGAAAGGAAGAATACCAACATAGCTTGAATTTACTGAACAAAATTAAGAACATGAAAGAATTAGCAGAAATGATTGATGTGGTGCTCATAGCAGAAGAGAAGAAGTTTCCTTGCCACAGACTAGTCCTTGCTGCATTTAGTCCTTATTTCAAAGCTATGTTCACCTGTGGACTACTCGAATGCTCTCAAAGGGAAGTCATACTCTATGACATCACAGCAGAAAGCGTGTCGGTGATACTAAATTACATGTATAGTGCAGCTTTGGAGATCAATCATGCCAACGTACAGACTGTAGCAATGGCTGCCTATTTTATGCAGATGGACGGAGTCTTTAGTACATGCCAAAAATATATGATGGACCACATGGATGCCTCCAATTGTGTAGGAATCTACTATTTTGCCAAACAGATTGGAGCAGAAGATTTATCTGATCAGTCAAAGAAGTACTTATATCAGCATTTTGCCGAGGTGAGCTTACATGAAGAAATACTGGACATTGAGGTGCACCAATTTCTGACACTTATTAAATCTGATGACCTGAATATATCCAGAGAGGAGAGCATTCTGGATTTGGTTCTGAGATGGGTAAATCATAATCAAGAATTGCGCACAGAGCATCTCGTTGAGCTTTTGAAGCAAGTCAGATTGGAACTTATCAATCCTTCCTTCTTAAGACAGGCCCTAAAAAGGAACACGATGCTTCTTTGTGATGCAGGCTGCATTGACATCATTCAGAATGCATTCAAAGCTATCAAGACACCCCAGCAGCACTCCCTAAACCTTCGCTATGGCATGGAGACCACCAGTCTTCTGCTTTGCATTGGCAACAACTCTTCTGGAATCAGATCGCGGCACAGGAACTACGGAGATGCCAGTTTTTGTTACGATCCGGTCGCACAGAAGACCTATTTTATTTCATCCCCCAAGTACGGGGAGGGTTTAGGAACAGTGTGCACTGGGGTTGTCACAGAAAATAATACTATAATTGTAGCTGGAGAAGCAACTGCCTCTAGACTCTCTAGACAAAAAAACAAGAATATTGAGATCTATAGGTTTGTATCAAGTAGCAGGGTTTTTTTGTATTTCTTTTTAATCTTGTTTGGAGATTAGTAGTAGTAGAAGTACTGCTGAGTGGTCACATCTTGAATCATGGACAGTCAAAATTCCACTGCAAGTCTCATAAATAATATACAGAACGTAATTGTGTGTATCCAGAAGTATGCATACAACACACATATATAACATTTGTAGTGAAGTTATCCACATTTAATTTTTTTCTCTTGTTTTTGTTGTTGTTGTTGTTGAGCTGGTTTGGGGCAATGTTGGGGATCACACTCATGGCTTTGGCCATGTCAGGCAAGTACTTTACCACTGAGTTACATCTCTAGCCTGCCTTTCCCCTTAATTGTTAAGATATAATTGAATTTGTGTAAGTTAAATGTGTCTGTATTATGATGCAATTGTATTTTTCACTCTTAGCCTTCATTATCTATATAATAAGACATAACACATTTGCTTTGTTTTTAAAGTCCTTGATGTAACCTGCAACGATAAGAAAAGTTTTTAATGTAAATTCTCTTAAATTGATTTTTAGTTATTGTTTGGTTTAGTTATTTATTATTTAGTTTATTACTCAGAGTAGTAGTTAATTTTTCTTTAGATAGGGTCTTATGTATCTTAAGATATGTATTTGAGGGTGACCTTGAATTTCTGATCCTCCTGCCTCCTCATTTCAAGATCTGAGATTATAGGCATGTGCCACCATGTCCAGTTTACGCAGAGCTAGGGATTGAACCCAGGGCTTCCTGCAGACTAGGCAAACTCTATACCAACTGAGCAAGATAGGGTCTTGCTATGGAATCCAAACTGGCCTCAAATTCCTATTGCCTTCATCTTCATGCGTGCTGGGATTTAAGCTTGTGATGCCATACCTGGCTAGTTCCTTTTTCCTTAACCAGGAAGTTTTCCTTCTGTGTCCTTAATCTGTAAATCTTTCATAAACCTTTAGTATTTAAAGAACATTTGTAGCCTAAGAATGCTTCAGTTCTATAACTATAGTGAGAGGAATAAGAAGCCTGCTAAGACTTACTATGTTGCCTGTATCTTGTTTGTGAAAACACATTTACTTTATTATCTATTTGGCAAGTAGTTGTGAGTGCTTAGTGTTTAAATCTAACCGGGTGAGTATGAATATGTGCATAGAATGAATACTAAAAGTAAAACTTTGCTTCAGGGTCTGCCCCTGCCCCTCTCAGTTCCCTCTTGCCAGGTTTATTCAGTTTTTAGTCAGAATGTGATTCTTTGTGACAGTGACGATGAGGCAAAGAAAGAATTAAGAGATCTGTTATTTGTCCATGGCCTATTAGCATTACTTATCTGTTCTGAGCCATATTCCTGTTCCTTTTCCCACAGCTAAAGTTTAAGGAACGTGTCTAATGTCCCCTGATAATGAGTAGGGAGGGAGTATGAAACCCTGGATGAGTAACCCGGACCCACACCCATGTGGTGGCAGAGCCTGACACAAGCTCAGTAGTAGCAGCCTTCCTCAGCATCCTAAGTAGACTTCAGAGTGGATGTCAAGGAGGAGCTTTGACTTCCTGGAACAGTTCTTGCAATTCTGCTCATTATTGTGACACATGCTTTGGGCTGGTGCCCTTCTATCTTGGGGCCTTAAAGAACCTTAAGTCCTTTAGCGATCTCTTTTCTTCCTCACGAAAACAGTCTACACATCTCCCATTAGAAATTATTTTTAATAAATATCAGCCGTGTCAATTTGTTTTTCTGTTCTGAGACTCGAACATCTTTTGTCTTCACTCTTTGAGAGCCCCCTTCCCTTTCTTGGAGCAATGTCTAGCTACATAGTCCATCATTTCCTGTTTACCTATCTTGAACTCAGCCGGGTTCCCATCACATTTCTCCAAATTAGGGTGAAAGTTATCAATTTCTTTCACCTTTCCCTTCAATATGAAATTGTCAGCAAGGCAAGTAGTAAAATTATCAGAAGCACTGCTTTAAACTTAGATGAGCCACACTTCCTCTCAAGATCAGTCACTGGGTTGGACTCTAGAAGACACTGAGAGCCCATCTATCTCTTACGATCCTTTTCTCCTAGCATCACTGCAAGTCACTTGGGTGCCAGTTTTGTGATAGATGTGGGACATGAATTTTCCTATGGTATATTCCTGTAATATTATTTTTATAATTATTTTTATAATTCTATTATTATTTCCTACCCTTTGATCTTTGTCCAGATGCTCTTCTGTCTGCTGCACTATATAGTTCATAGGTCTTCTTGACTTGAAATAGGAAGTGGGCTAGCAGTATGGTGGTCAGTCATGTCTTTTCACAGAGATGCACCTCTCTGTCCCCTTCCTTTATCTCCCCAACTTTGGCATATGAAATAATTGAGAATGTAAGTAGCATCTTTAAACCATCAACCTGAATGCTTTTGTCACTGTTATTTTCCATTATGTTATATTCACTTTTCTCAGTCATTAGTTTTCTACTTTTAGCTGAACATTTTATTTTGCCATTTTCAGTTCTAAATGTTACAACAGAATCAGATTGGCAAGTCAACAGAAAACATATTTCCAAACCTTTATGGGACAAATTTCACTCTATCCTGTTTTCTTAAACTATGCCTCAGAAAACCAAATCCCATTTTTCAGTTCTATATATATATTTATTCAGTTAGCTTTTCTTCAGTGAACCCAACACATAGACACATAATTCCCCTTGGTCCTTGAAAACCCATGAGATTAGTATGGGTTCTCTGGGGAATGTAAGAGTTGGCCCATGTAGTATAATTAGTAGTGAGTAAAACCAGGCATGGTGATGCACACCTTTAATCCCAGCACTTGGGGAGCAGAGGCAGGCAGATCCTCTGAGTTTGAGGCCAGCCTGGTCTATATAATGAGTTCCATGCCAACTAGGGCTACAGGGAGCCCTTTTTTGAATGCAAAGAAAAAGAGGTAGTGAAAATAGTCCTTGTGATTCCAGAGACTCTGGCTTCCTTTCTATAATTGCATAGAAGACATACACTGAAAGGTTTGATAAATCTGTGCATTCAACTTATAAGCCACACATGCCTCTGTGGAAGGAACATGCCTCCCAACTTCCCTGTCAATCCTGAAGCAGAATGTTCTCTGGGGAATGTGAGAGTTGGCCCAGAACAAGTGGGAGAAACTCTGATTAGATGACTAACTGTCAAATGTTCCTTAAAAATTGTACTCGGCACAAAACACACATAAGTCCTTTGTTCTAATTCTTGTTTCCAAACAAAGTATTTTTTCTTATTTTCTATGTTCCTGAGTTTTGTGGTTTTGTTCCAGGTATACTTCTCTAGGTTTTCCTGGGACATTAATTTTACATATTTTATCCCACTACCTATCCCCGTATTTCTGACTTTCTGAGACCATGTATCTCAAATCATGACTGGAAAAAAAATAGACTTACCAGCCAAGCAAACCTATAACCCACCACCTAGGAAGCTGAGGTAGGAGGATGGTAAATGTTAGGCCAAGATGAACTACATAATGAGATTTTATCTTAAAGTGGGCTGGAGAAATGGCTCAGCAGTTAAGAGCATTGGCTGCTCTTGCAGAGGACTTGGGTTCAGTTCCCAGCACCTACATGAGAGCAAACAACCGTCTCCAGTTCCAAGGAATCCAACACCCTTTCTGGCCCCCATGGGTACACACAGGTGCCCTTAACGTACATACAGACAAAAAACACATAAAATAATTTTTTTAAAAAAAGACGTCAATATCCTGAGGCAAGACTGGACGGTCATGAACTGGTGCATGGTATACTGAATGACTATAATGTGCTATCCAGCCAGTTACTGTGCCTGCCTCCAGAAGGCATTGAGAGACCATCTATCCAATGATCCATATCCCCAAGACTTCTTAGACAGATATGACTATTCATGGAGAAAATTACCCAAATTTCTATAGCTAGTAGATTAAAATATGTTAAATGCCCAGGAGACATCTGCAGATGGGTTTTTATACAGTGCTCTTGACCCAATTTTAAACCAGTTAGACCTACAACTTAAAATTCTAAGCCAGGCGTGATGGTGCACGCCTGTAGCCCCAGCACTTGGGAGGCAGAGGCAGGCAGATCTCTGTGAGTTCAAGGCCAGCCTGGTCTACATAGTGAGTTCCAGGCCAAGTGGGGCTACAGGGAGACCCTATTTCAAAAAGACCAAAAATTTAAAAAAAATGCTACCTGGCCTTTCCAGTTAAACATTCTGAATTGAGATATTTCCAGATTCTCTGCCTTAAAAACATGATTTCTTTAATGTTGTATTAAAATGGTTGTTACCTAAAGAATCAAGCAGTTTTATATTTATATATCTTCATTTATTCGTGTTAAAATTAAAAATGGCTTGTTGAAAGGCTTTCTTATCATTAGTTTTCTTACCCAGAATTAGGAAATATTAAAGACTAGTCCTAGACAATGTGTGTTCTTCCCATACATCTATTTTTCCTATAATTTTCCAGGGAGATGTGTTTTGTTTCAGCATATTACATGTTCCCCATTGATCCTTAGGAAAAAATAAAGCGAATCTATACAACTATCTTGTGTTAATTATTTTTTTTACCTCCAATTAGAAGAGCTAGGTCACATTGTTTTGTGTTGGAAAAGGAACTTCAGTTTCTTGGGTGAGTGTTTCCATGGTAACTCTAACCTGCTTCTCTCTCTGTTAACTTACAGGTATCATGATAGAGGAAACCAGTTTTGGGAAAAGTTATGCACAGCTGAATTTCGAGAGCTGTATGCTCTGGGCAGTATCCATAATGACCTCTATGTTATAGGAGGACAGATGAAAATTAAAAACCAGTACCTTATTACAAACTGTGTTGATAAGTACTCCATAGATCGAGACAGCTGGAAACGGGTCTCTTCCCTTCCACTGCAGCTGGCCTGTCATGCTGTAGTGACAGTGAGCAATAAACTGTATGTCATCGGAGGCTGGACCCCTCAGGTTAAGAAATTTCTTGCATACCTAACTGGCATGGCTGTGCTAAGTCTGGCTCTGTTGAAAATTGTAGCAGTTGTTGAATACTAAAAGATTATTACATTTTGATAAATGTTTTTTACTCCATAAAATACGAAGTGAAGGTTTGAAAGTGTCAGAGCAATTTTGGAAAGTAGATTTTAAAGTGTTATTTATAGATATGGGTGTGTTTAGTATTTTTGCTATAATATGAATTTTACAATCCTTCCTCTGCTGGCTGAGCAGGAAAGATCCCTGTGCCGGGGGAACCTGTAAGGAACATGTGAGTAGGCAACAGCTGGACCCTCATCCCAGTCCTGCCTGTCTGATAGTTGTGTGACTTGCAACAGTCACCTGTAGGCCTTTTCCACATTTAAGATGTTTCAGTCAGTAAAGTGCTTCTTGTGTAAACATGAGGAAGGACCTAAGTTTGATCCCCAAAACCCATGTAAAAGCCAGGTGCAATGGCCATGCCTATAATCCCAGTGCTAAAGAGACCAAGACAAGGAGGCTGTGCTGGCCAACCATTCTAGCCAATTGGTAAGCTGCAAATTTGGTGAGATGCTGTGTCTCAAACAGCTCCTGAAGACAACACTTGAGCTTGACCACTGGCTTCCACATATACACATGCACACATATATGTGTACCCATATTCACCATGAAGACTCACACACATAAAGCTTCTCACAATCAGTAAAAAAAAAAAACAGAATATTGCTTTTGTGATGGCATGATCATTCCCAAGAAGGTATGTTGTAACTGTAAACACTGCATGTCCTTGCTGGACCCCAGCAGATGGGAAAACCAGAATACTATGGATACTGAAGCCCAGCAAAAATATGACAAGCCCAAACTGAGAAGTCAGCAGTGTGACCACAGTGGCCCTGTGCCCTTCTTTTGAGGGCCTGTTGGGCCATTGGCACCCACAGCAGTGCCTTTCCAACGGCCCTCTGCCCTGGCCTTTTGTCTTCTTTTTTAAAATTTATTCTTATTTTATGCGTACAGTGTTTTGGCTGTATGTATGTAAGTGGGTATGTAATACTGGGTGTGCAATGCCCACCAAGGCCAGAAAAGGATGATATATCTTCTGGAACTGGAGCTAAGGATGGTTATTAGCCACCGTATGGGTGCTGGGGGCTGAATCCAGGTCCTCTAGAAGAACAACCAGTGCTCTTAACCCCTGAGCCATCTCTCCAGCCCCAGCCTGCCTTCTTAGTAAGAATTACTCTCACTCCTTGGCTGTCCCCATGACATAAATTTAATTTTGCCTATGTTTTTTCTTGTTTCTTCTGATTTGCTTCATGATAAAATTCATGCTTTTACATTCCCTTCATGAGCGTGGAAAACTTCACACTTAACACATTTCTATTTGTGCTGTAGATCAAATGTAGTACAGATTTCACTCCAGTGAGTAGCTGAGACCTGACAAATTCTCTGCACTTACATATTTCAAAACTTGCCCATTTACACAGTGAATTTGCATGAACAAGCCCTCAAAACTTGGAAACTGTACTTTACTAAAGTGGAGATTAAATACTTAAATTAGAAGGAAAATTAAAGCAGTAAATATTTGTTAATCTAGTCTGAGCAGATAACATGAGCATGTGTTGTGTAACAAAGCTTTTGGCCATTTCTCTGAGCTTTAGATATAGTACATTAAATTGCAAAGTAACTAGGGGCTTCAAGTGCCCACGGTGTCATAATTCTTGGTATTTTTAAAGGAATTAACTCAAGCTAATTGCCTATAAGTTTCATAAGTATGGCAATTATTTCTTTGTTGAACATTTGGATCCAAAAAAAGAGACAGTTATAGGTCTTTAGTTCAAAATTATGTAACGTTTCAGATATTACATATAAAAAAATTTATTTACCTGAAGTCTGTAAGTCTTACATCTGTGTAGGAATAAAATTATTTCATGTAATCTTATCTAATCAAATAAATATATAAGTAAATAACATATAATAAGTATGTAAAAATAACTGCAAATTTATGCTAATCCTAATATCTTGAAAATTAAATTCAGGCCATTTACATATAGCTTATAATTATGGTGTAAAAACTCTAATTACTAAAATACTGAAAATATTTTTGTAGCTTTTTTGCACAGATTAGAAAAATATAAAGAAAAATGCCTTATGAATTATTAAAATTGGTTCTTATAAGTAATATTAAAATTCACAACTATAAAGTTGGGTAAGATAAGTGCTACATTTACGCATTGTTCAAGAGAGCTTAATTTTATGTTTAAGACTTTGCATTTGCTTCAAGTTTTTGGAAAAGAAGTTTTTGTGTCTCAGAGTGAAAATCACCCATTGTTGTAACCCAGCATGTTAGCCCCATTATTGCAGAATATAAATTCCTTTGTTGTTGACAGGGTACTTACAACCTCAAGTCTTGGGACTTGGCATGTTTGTGAGTCTGAGTAAGATAGTTAACCTCCATTTAGCTCCTCCACTGTCTGCTTTGATTAATTGTGTTCATGCACTCACAAAGGCCTCTAAGTGGTCTGTTGTTACATTGGCTGTCATATTTCATTCAGATGGATCTTCCCGATGAAGAACCTGATCGATTAAGCAACAAACTGTTGCAGTATGATCCCAGCCAAGATCAATGGAGAGAGCGGGCACCCATGCAGTATTCTAAGTACCGATTCAGTACTGCAGTCGTCAACAGTGAGATCTATGTTCTGGGTAAGAAGGGGCAGATGGCTCACAGAGCAGAGTCACTTTCATTTTCTCAGCAGTTTGCTCTATGAAACTGATTGTTTCCCTTCCTCTTGTATCCCAGTTCAAATATATACACATAACCAGCCAAAATGTTATTTCTTGTTTTCTAGAGCACATGTCAAATAAGATTAAGTCAAAGTGCACTGACTTTGAGAGCAGAACAATTTTTATGGCCTTGGAATGCCAGAGCCACAGTGATTGTCCTGTGGGATATACTTGGATGCAGTGGAAGAAGCTTTTAGTCATTCTTAGTGAGTGAAATGTGGGGCTTTGACTTGCAGCTGACTGTGGTTGTGTTGTTAAAGAAAAACCCATGGCAGGTTGAACTGTGCCACAGAGTTTGACACTCCTCTTCATTTGCCTAGCTCCACACTCTTCTAAAGCGCTATTGCCAAGTAATTTTTAGATAGATACATTTCTTCTTATCTCTTGAATATGAGTGGTCTATGTTAACCAGCAAGGTCTAGTAATGGATTTCAGTTCAATTCTACTAATTATGCTAGTGTGTCAAAAATTCCAAATATTGCCAGGCGTGGTGGTGCACGCCTTTAATCCCAGCACTTGGGAGGTGGAGAGGGTATCTGTGAGTTCAAGGCCAGCCTGGTCTACATAGTGAGTTCCAGGACAGCTGGGGCTACAGGGAGACCCTGTCTCAAAAAGACCAAAAAAAAAAATCCAAATACTGGGCTGGAGAGATTGGTCAGTGATTAAGAGCACTGGCTGCTCTTGTAGAAGACCAGGGTTCAAATTCCACCACCCACATGGTGGCTAATAACCATCTGTAACTCCAATTCTAGGGGATATGACGTCCTTCTCCATCCTCCATGGACATTGCATAACATGGGTGCACTTACATACATGTAGACCTAACACTCATACACATAAAATAAAAATAATTTTTAAAATTCCAGATATCTTTTATATTCCCCTTCCCTTCCTAACTCCCTACAATTTTCTGTTGTATTAAGTCTTCTGTCCTGCAGAGTACATTCTCTCCTCTGGCATCACCCTTTGTCATCTCTACCTTCCCAAAGTGTGGGAAGACTGTGGTCATTAGGCTTACTGGATGGCTAAGAGAATGACTGTGCTTAGTGTCTTTCCTCCTATCTGTCTGGATGGCTGACTGCCGAAAACAGGAATGTGATGGGAGGTAAAGAAATAACTAACAAAATGCATGAGCTTTGGGGTAAAAGCAGGCCAGCCTTCAGAATAGAAACAATTTTTTAAAATTCCAAATGGAGGCCATTATCTTTTGGCTGTTTTTATAGCATGAAGCAAAGTAATTCATGTTCTCAAGTATTAGTGATTGTTTTATTTAAGAACAATTGTGCAATATAATTTATGACTACCTCAGTTATAAGACTCACAATTAAGTTTTTCCTCTAGATAAATACCCCTTATTTTGTTAAAGCCAGATGCTCCATCATGGGCCCAGAAGAGAGAATTCTTAAGCTGGGATAGATTGCCTAGGATAGGTTCATTATTCAAGCCAGGAAAGGACAGATCTACTAAGTATAGTACAGTTGCAGAAAGCCAAAAACTGAAATGAAGTGATTATCAGTTGAAGCAGAATAAGATCTTCTCACAGCTGGGCTGGGAATGGAATAAAAATGATAGTGGGTTGTTTTGTTTTGGTTTTGGTAATTTTGTGGGAAAAGACACCTTAGAGACAACCCTAGGAGCTCACTCTTCATGACATGGACAAATGTCCACTGAGTGGACAACGGTAGATTTAAAGTGGCCTATAGGATGTCTAGAAGTGAAATAAGAAAAGGAGCGTATGCTTCAGGAAAGGGTACAATGGGAAGGGACAGGGAAGAGGAGGTGGCAGAGCTGCAGCAGCAGATTAGAGGTGAGAATGAGTGTGACGGGAGTAGAGGATAAAGGAAGAAGGCATGAATGCACCCCACGGCTGGAGCTGTGAGAGACAGTAGTACATGTACACCAGTTTCTTAGTGACTTTTCTCACTGCAGTGGCAAAATAGCTGGCAGAAGTAATTTAAAAGAGGAAAGGTTCGTTTTGGCTTGTGGTTTCAATTCACTCTAGAAGGTACAGCAGAGCAATCTGTGGCAGTGGGAGACTGAGGCACACATGGCTTGTTCACATGGTATGGACCAGGAAGGAAGAGCATGGCAGGAACTGTGGGTGGGTATGACCTTCAAAGTCCCACCTGAAGTGACACTTTGGCCAGGTAGGCCTCACTTCCTAAAGGCCCCATGGCCTTCAAAATAGCACCACAAAGCTAGGGACCAAGCATTCAAACACAAGCCTGTGAAGGACATTTCAATTTCAAACCATATCAACTGGGAATCAGATTATGAAAGCCACAGATAAAGAATTAAGAAAGCATAGTGGACAGTGACAAACTGCACAGAAGCCACACAACTAACAAATGGGGGGTTGTAAATTAAGGACATGAAGAAAAATCAAAGGTCAGAAGAAAGTGGAAGTGGAGCAATCAACTGGGAAGGCTTTGCAGTAGTTTAGACTCACCTCTAGATACCTAGAGCCAGTTATCAGATGCACAATCATCCTAGTAAGCTTTGGCACCTCTAAAATTCACCCCAAAGAGTTAACTTGCCCAACATTTGTGCTTACCCCCCAAATTTATTTATAAACTTTGAAATGATGTGTTCAGTTGTTTAGCTTTTTCTGTGATAGTATTAGTTCAGATTAAATTTTCACTGTACATATAATTGAAATTTAGACAAACATCATGTAGAACCCTAAAGCTGCCAGTTTGAATGACTCAGACACCTTGCAGTCAGTTTTTGTCTTAGCATAAGCCCTATCTGCTTTGTGAGATCTGCATACCTTTTACTGTGCTTGGGGATTCCTGCCTATTGAGCCAAAAATAAGGACTGTTCTCACTGTCTGTGATGGATTTAATGCTCACCATCTCCTAGTAGACTACAGGGTATCTCCTGAAGACCAGCCTGTGGCATCTGCTCACTAGAGAGGCACATGTTAAGGTGAGGAAGACTCCAGCCTCACAGTTGGGTAGATTTGGAGTTGAGTAGATTCTGGCTCCATCACTAACTACCTTTATGTTGCTGGTCCAGTAGACATTTTTAATATAAATTAATTATGAGGGCTGGAGAGATGGCTCAGTTGTTGAGTGTGTGCTACTCTCACAGAGGACTGGAATTCAGTTCCTAGCACCCATGTCAGGTGGCTCACAATTGCTTGTAATTCCAGCTCCAGGTGATTCAATATCTTGGACCTTGGTGGGCACCCACACTCACATGTACATACACATGTACATGTACAGACACACACATACACATAATTAAAAATAATAAAAACAGGGGCTGAAGAGATGGCTCAGCAATTAAGAGCACAGGCTGGGTCTTGGCAGAGGACCCAGGTTTGAGTCCCAGCACCCACATGGCGGCTACAACCATCCATAACTCCATTTCCAGAGAATCCAACACCCTCTTCTGAGTGGCACAGGCATTGCACCACACAGTGGTGCACTTACGTGCAGGCAATACATTCATACATATAAAAACATAAAAATAATAAATAAAATATTAAAATATAATACCAAATCTCAAAAAATAAAATTAGATATTATGATTAAATAAGATCATGTGTTGGGATATCTGCATGATAAGTATTCAGATGAGGTAACAGCTCTTTGTTGAGCACCTTTATGTTACAGATGGTTAGAGTCTGGATCTTCAGTGTCCCCCCAAATCTCAAGTTAAAGGCCTAGTCACCATCCTGTATCCCTATTGTAAAGTAGTTGAAATACTAGGAGGTGGGCCTGGTAGAAGGAAGTTGAGTATGATCTTGGAGGGCTTAACTGGAAAGTATATTCTAGACAAATTCTAACTAAATTATAAGGTAGCCGTGTTAATATCAGACAAATGTACTTTAAAGGAAAAATATGGAGTTTCTACTTGAGGTGAATGGAGTAAACACAGTCACCCTGTCTTTCCCACTAAATGACACTGCAGAACATGACCAGCAAAAGACACTGAAAGGTCATCACAAAGAAGCACCAAAACTGCTGCAGGACCCACCGGATTTTCCTCACCTGAATTTTGCACAGCCAAAACTCAGACCTGGATCTTGTTCACAGACAGAGCTCCAAGAGAATCCATCTAGTTCTGGCATGAGTTACAGAAAGGAAACATAGTTCTTAGAATGTAGATGTCATAGTTTCAGTTGTCAACTTGACACAGCTAGGAAGAGCTGAAGAATTTCCTCCATCAGACTGGTCTGTGGCTATGTCTGTGAGGCATTTTCTTAATTGTTAATTGATGTAGAGGACCCAGCCCACTGTGAGCAGTGCCATCCCTGGGCAGGTGGGCCTGGGCTGTATAAGAAAGGGATGCTAGAGTGAGTGAGCTAGCAAGCATAATTCCTCCATGGTTTCTCCCTCTCTTCCTGTCTCCAGGTTCCTGCTTTGGCTTTCCTCAATGATGAACTATTCCCTGGAAGTGTAAGATGGAATAAACCCTTTCCTCCCCAAGTTGCTTTGGATCATGGTGCTTATCACAGCCACAGAAAAGCCAACTAGAACAGTGGATATCCCCACTTTTCTCCCTCTCTCCCTCTTTCCTTCTATCCCTCTTTTCCTCCCTTCCATCCTGCCATTTAGGCCAAACATAGGTCCAAACACAGCTATATGTGGCCGAATGGGGTGACTAGAACCTCAGGTTTCTTGCCAGAGAACTAGTATAGGGAGTCCTTGAGAACCAGGAGACACAGAGTGAGAATTGGAGAAGACAGCCCCATTGAGTTTTGATTAACGGACTCCAAGGCTCACCCGAGGTGATGCATGGCCCAACCCTTATTCTCATACTGCTAACACTGAGAACCAAAATAACAGATCATAGCCCAGGCTTCAGGCTGACCACTGGGTCATGCACTTCCCAGAAAGTATCAAAGAATGTTCTGCATGCTTGGGCACTAAACTGATACTGGAATGACAGTGCACAGAAGACAGATTGAA